AGGCGGGTAGAGAGGGAGAGAGAGAAGCATCGATGTGAGAGAGACTTTGATTGGTTGCCTCCCGCACGCACCCCGAATGGGGCCAGGGATTGAACCTGCAACCCAGGTACGTGCCCTTGACCAGGAATCAATCCTGCGACCCTTCGGTTCTCTGGCTGACACTCTAACCACTGCGCCACACTGGCCAGGGCACCCGTTCCATCACTTCTACTGAAATAAACTCATGAGGAGTTACCCACGCCAAGTTCTCCAAACAGGGCCAGAGAGGCACAAAGGCCAGGGAGCCCCAATCTCAAGAGCACGTTCTCCTTTCGCCCAGGCTTGAAGTCAGGTCGAGGCCTAATCATTTCTTGGGAACTCCTGCAAAATGCACTAAGGACATAAATCATCTTTCACGTAGCCTCGGAAGAAGGCACTGCCATTGCTCTCCAGAAAGTTACCCTCAGGCAGGAACCCGCGGCCCACCGCCTGGCACTGAAGAAAGGAGGGTGTGTCGGTCCCATTCTTCAAGCCCGCCAGGGTCTCTGCAGGGCCGCCCCTCCTGCGCCCAGATCGCCGCCTGTCACAGCAGCCGGGCAGGCCTCCTCGTTTCCGGAGGCCCCTCCTCAGTCGTCCCGGCGAGACCTGTGGCCCACCACCTACCTAAGGGTTCGGTTTCTTCCCCTGCCAGCTCCCGTGCCCTTTCCTGCTTCGACAGAGAACACGCTGTCTGTCACTTACGCACTGCGTCTCGGGCTGTCCTGACCATCGGAACGCAACCTCCGAGGGCAGGGGGCTTTCTGTTGGACCACTACTCAACCTGCAAACCTAGACCGGTGCCGGGCACACGGCAACCCCTGAGCTTCACTGAGCTTCCCTTAAACCGTCACTGAGTTGTAACATCCGTGCCTGTTGCAACTGCGGAGGGGAGAGAGTGAGGCGGGGCTGCGCGTCGCTGGAGGGGATGAGCTCGGGGCTCATCACGCTCCCGTTACCACTGTGGGTCATCATCACCCTTCAAAAAAACATTAAAAAGAAAAACTTTTACTATCACTTCCACCGCTTTCCCCACCCACCGATCAGAAACAACACGTCTCCGCTCTGCAGGACGGCAGATGGCCCCTAACCTTTCCCTCTAGTTAATCAAGTACAGAGAGGTCCGGAGAGGTGGCGGGCGTGAGTACAGAACACAGAAGTCACAGTCCCCGCAGCTTGGCTCTCATATCAGAAAGCATCTTAAGATATCAGTTTGGAACACCATTTTCCATACGTCCCTACCTAATGACTCGGGATTTTTTTTGAAGCAGGGGATCGATAAACACAGCAGTCCTCAGGGTGGCTGCCTCTGCCGGGAGGCAGCGTATGAGAGCGCATGCACAAGCCGCTCGTTCTCGGGGGGTCACAGGGTCCAGTCTATCGCCATGCCTCCTAGCTCACACGGACTGCATGCACACAGCTTCTGCGCATCAAATAGCTCACACGGACTACATGCACATAGCTCCTGTGCATCAAATAGCTCACACGGACTACATGCACACAGCTTCTGCGCATCAAATAGCTCACACGGACTACATGCACATAGCTCCTGTGCATCAAATAGCTCACACGGACTACATGCACACAGCTTCTGCGCATCAAACAGCTCACACGGACTACATGCACACAGCTTCTGCGCATCAAACAGCTCACACGGACTACATGCACACAGCTTCTGCGCATCAAATAGCTCACACATGCATATTATACGTAATATAAACAATTCTTTCCCAAGCAAATATATAAATATGCCATAATATAAATGACTTTACTGACATGATCATGAATATGCTTATTTTAACGGAAAGCTGAAATTAGCAGGAATACTCATACTCAAAAGGCCGTAAGCCCTGCTGTCTCTAACACCAGCCAGTCACGAGCCGGAGGAGGTCGTGTGTGGTTTTGGTTGCCAGCAGCCTCGGCAGCCTCGCGGGGCTGAGTCAGACGCCCTTTGCCGACAGTGAAGGCGTGCTGGGCTCCTTGCAAGAGGCACGGTGTCACCAGTCCCATGAGTGAAGCGCTGGGTCCTTCCCCGCTGGCTTTCTATTATAAACTGCTTTTTAAAAAAAATCAGCTCACTTCTCAAAGAACACCAGGGTGGTGGACCATGCACCCAGGAGACGGGCAGGACTCACAGACGGTTGAGGGTTAGTTACCAGGAGCCCTCCAGAAGCCAAATGAATCCCCTGGGAAGACTCAGCAGTCCCGCTGCTCCTTATTACACACCCAGAACACTCGCCAAGGCTGCTTTTGTACTTGAACTTGTGAAGTCTATCAGGAAAGACTTCACCCACTCCAGCAGAGGGAGGTCCAGAAATAGCACCGTCTGGTCTATAAAGAGGCGCATCTTTCCGGCACGGAAGCCAGTGTGTGCACCCACTCGTAATTATCCTTCCCAAGCAGCCACCCGGTGCCTCAAGACGGGAGGACGGCCAGGATTCACTGTGTCACAACCTTGGGTGATGCCTGGGGATGGCTGCAGGTTTTAAGAAATACAAATGCAATGCTTGTATTGGTTTCTTCGAAGGGGAAAGCAGCCATAACCAATCACCTCCTTGGTTTTACACAACTCATGAGTTTGTTTCAAACACATGTGAAAGGGAAGCTTTTCCAAAAAGGAGTCTTTTCCAAAAGGGAAGCTTTTCCAACAAAACATGTTCCCCTTTTACAGAAACTAGAAATAATATATGTCATGGGCAAATCTGGTATTTCTTTAATTCAAGATAAAATTACTGGTTTACTTCTTGACATAAAAAAGCAAGAGACAGATTGTACGCGCCTTTGCCACCCTACTTCTACGTCCAAAAAATGTTGAGATGTCTAAGGGAACCATCATTAACATTTTAGATATTTATAGTTCTAACCTCCTTAAATGGGCTACCTCGGGATTTTCGACATCTCTCAAAAGTTTGAAACAGCATCCATTTTTATGATGATTTAAGAGGATTTCATAAAATAATGGGGGGAAAAAGCAGACACGCTGGGATCAGTGTGTCTATGGTTCTAGCCAAGCTCCACGTAGCTGTGGGACATCAGATATGTGACCTAACCTTTCTGTGTTTTAAAGTCATCATCTGTAAAATGAGGATACTAATGGCTCCTACCTCACAGGATTATTGTGAGGATTAAAATAATAATAATGTACCCAAGAACTACAGCAGTGACGAATACGTAATAAATACTTGCTTAATGGTAGCTATTATTATTGTTAATATTTAACAGGTAGAAGACTATGTGTGTAATTTATGGTCTCTGAAGATCCCTCTTAAATAGTGCACTTCAGAGACCAGCTCAGAATCATCCATCGCGCCGGGGCCACTGTAAAAGAAAGCAGGGCAGGGCTGGAGGGACGGGTGTGGGATCCTGGAGGTCAGTGCCGGTCATGGAGAGCACAGAACATAGCACAGAAGAGGAGCTGGGGGTCCAGGATCTTCACTTTACTCAAAATAACCCAAAGTCAAAACAGACTTTTCATATCAGAAAACACCCAATCTACCCATTATTCCCAGTTCCCAATGATCTCCTACTTTCGAGCACACAGTTCTTAAAGTCCAACCTACGGGCATGTGCACCTTCTGCCACGAGCTCGCGGAGGGCGAGGCTGGCAACCATCTATTGCCTGGGTAGCTGCTGTGCTTACGCTCCTAAGTTAGAATGACAAATTCGAGTTCACCCCGGCCCTTCTAGTTACGCTCCGTCCGACAAAACCTTCTACATCTCTGCTGACAACACCGTGGTCAGGAGCCACGCGTGCTACTGAAGAGAAACCAAATGTTTACTTTATTTAATTTTCATTTACTTACATTTTAAAAGTCGCATGTGGCTAGTGGCTACCATGCTGGACAGTGCGGGTTGGTCAAGGGGGAACGGCTGTCAGTAGCACTGTATTTCGGGGACCCTAAAGGAAGCCTGGCCCTGCCAGGAAAGAGCGCTGGCCCGACCAGAGCACAGGACAAGGCACAGGCCCTCATCCCAGCCGCAGGCCCGGCGAAAGGATCCGATCTCCTGTCCCCTCCACCAGAAGAGAACCTCTCCTCCTAATGCCGACAGTGATTCTCACATACCTGAGGGGCATTTTCTGCTCTTGGAAAAAATAAGATTGGCTGAAAAGAACCAGATTATAAAAGAAAGAAGAAGAAAAATAACTTTATCCAGGATAATACCTAATGCCCCTCAGTCCTCTGAGGAGAAATACTGACTTTTGGCAATTTTACAAAATTACGTAAAATCAAGAGTGTTAGACTATAGGTTATTTTAAGCTATGTTACAGGCCTTTCTTCAGTAATGTTACAGATGTGCCATGGACAGGTCATTAAAATGACTCAATAAATAATTAAAAGAACCATTACACAGAGAGAGTAAACCACACTATCCATTTTAAATGAAGGAAATAGACCAAAGCCACTGCAAAGGAAACAACCGTGCATGGGGTGGAAGTACACATCCCCCAGCACTTTACAAATAATACACTTCACTTTCTAAGAGAGGAACAGAGCTGTAACATCGATTGCTTCGGAAATACCACTGTACTGCCTCCATGAAATACCACTTTATGCAGGACTCAAAGAATGTCACATAGAACACCACCATCTTCCTTAAAGAACTCACAATATCTAACCCAGTAAGATCAGGAACCTCTCCGGATACAAATAACTGTTTTCCTGCGGCTCTGGCTACAAAAATTCACACTGGAATTTCACCCGAGAAGATCTCTCAAGGACTTTCATGAGCTGGTCCCGTCAGGGCCTGCTTCCCACAGGAAGGATTCCGGTGAGACTCTAGTAACCAGAAGGCGACTAACTATCACAGCAAAATTTCAACTCTCATATATTTAAATCAAATCCTTCCATACCCCAAGTGGAAAAGCTGTCATTGTGTGTCCCCCAAAAAACAAACGAACTGTCGTACTTTTTCTTGAACTAATAATAATACGGCGTTGAGTTGAAAATTAACACCAGAAAATCAGAGATCACCTCCACGCTTACCTCGACCACTGTGGTTTCCGCGGCTTTGCACATGGGCAGGTTGAAATTCCGTGCACTTTTCCTGTATCAGGGGATGGGACATAAGGAAACAAGACCAAAAATCAGAAAGCGTCTCCTTCAGCTTTAGTTACAGGCTAAAAGAATTTCTATACACTAAGAATCTGTGAATCTGCTTGGAAAGAAGGCATCGTATCTTCTGTTAATAAAGTTTTGGTTTTTTTAAACATTTCTTATTGTTTCAATTAAAGTTTTATAATTATTTTACAAATGAAAACAATATGATACCCACTTCAATTATATAATTTTCTTATAGGGTTGGAGAAAAGAGGGTCTATTTTTCATGCTCAACATACAGATTTTATACAGAAAAATAAAATGGATATTAATAAATCTATTTAAAACTAATTTCCCTGAACCTTTTAACTGGGACACTGCAGTAAGTACTGCATATGAGAGGGTACAGTCATTACGGGCTCGATTAAAGAGAAGCCTGTTGCTGAAATTAAATGAAACATTCACTGGTAATTTGTGAGTGACCTGTAAAGATCATCCTGAAAAACCAATTTCTAATGAAAGTTTTGAAACTACAACACCCACATCAGAGCAGAGTGTGAAAATTTCAAAAAGGTCCTAATTTTGCTGATAGTTCCTAAATCAATGCACTTCCTCTAACCATAAAAATGTAAATATCTGTCTGTTTCTCAGAATCTAAGTTGATAGAAAATTTTCTTTGGTAAAGGGAAATAAGTCACAGCCCTGTCTACCAGCGTTTCCAGCCACCAATGTGTATTTCCCTTGGACTGAAGGGCAGGTGCCAGCACAGGGGCGTCCTGTGTACCTCCACAGGTGTCCTGTTGGACTCTAGAGCTGACAGGTGCCAGCACAGGTGCGTCCTGTGTACCTCCACAGGTGTCCTGTTGGACTCGAGAGCTCCAGCGTCAGAAGCTCCAAGGCAGGGTGGCCGCAGGCGGGGCCTGCAGGGCCCTCCCACTCCAACAGCAGCCTGGACAGACCCCTGCACCAGCTGCCCACGGTCCTAAGAATCTAAGTGACTCGACCACTAGTGATACACGCTCTCATGTCACATCAAAGCTTAATGTTTATGTGAACCACAGGCATAAAGTCTGTGCTGAGAAGAGTCCCTGGGCAGTCTCCAGATGCCGGAGCCAGGCAATGAAGCACGGGATAAATTCGTGGAAATATTTTAAATAATTCATTTCCCTTTGCTACTATACAATTTCATTCCTCGTTCTTTAAATAGCAACTGGACTTTGCAAACATTATGCCAAAGTGTCAAGTGTGGTAGACATGATGCAAAACGTCTTCTGCAATGGCCAAAATTAGCTGTGATTTCAAAAACTGGTTGAATTCAAGAAATCAAACACAGTATTAATATTGTAAGTTCTTCAAAAGTGAACAAAAGCAACATGACAGTGGTCACTGAGAATTTAACTGTGATTGCACAAAAGCTGCATTTGGTCAAGATAAAAAATTGCTACCTAAAGTGGTAAATGATGATGTTATGAGAAAATGAATGATTTCTGTAAAGCTAATAGGTGAGGTTTTAATACCAAACATTTTGAAAAACTTTTTTGGAAAACTTTATGTGTATATTGAAAGGTGACATAATTTTTGAAAAACAAGTATGTAATCTATAAATCCAAAATATTAAACACTTGGTATTCAGCAAGCTTAAGGTAATCAGAAGATCCTAAAACCTATTAAACATATCTTTGGCCATCCAGTTAACGAGAATGAAAGTTCAGCATTATTAAGGTTAAACAACTCTTCAGACAAGACCTTCATAAGCATTTCCTAGTAGCGGCAATAGCACCGGAAAAGACCTGACTTAAGTCATTAGTAGCAATATCTTTCCAGATTATCAGAGGAACTTGGGCATTTTAAGACAATGCATGTAAATAACAATATCAAAAGTAAATATAATTGTGTGCTTTTCTCATGTTTTCTAAGCATGTCAATATTGTAACTGGTCTTGGCAACTAAAATACACAGAGGAAAACATAATTTGTGTGTGACTAAAAGCAAGGGTATATAGATTCAGAGTTAACAAGCTGGGCAACATGGACATCAACCAATCAGAACAGACTCCCATAAGTACTCCATACCCGCGAGACGACTGTACACACACACACACAAGCTGGTATGCTTGATTTTAAGCCATTTTTAAAGAAATTTTTAAATACCAAACACGTCAAGATATCCATTTTGTAATCATAATTTAGGAAATATAAAACTGTTGAAACGCATCACATTAATCTTTTTGAAAACCATCACACTACCTGAAAATTATGTTTCCTGCTCGGTCTGCCTTCCAGGCTTTCACCAAGGCAAAATCCCCTGTAATTGCTTCTTCCAAAATAAAATGTTGACCTTTGAACTCTCTCACCTGCAGGAAACAAAGAAGGTGCCACTAGGTATTTGCACAGAGATGAGCTCTGATAAAGGCAGATAAAAGGGCCCAGGCCTAGTCGGGAAAGGTCTCTCAGAGAGAGAAGTAATCTAAATGGAGACTTCAAGGCTGAGTGTGGTAGGCGACTGAGACTTAGTGAAAGGGCTGGAAGGGGGAACTGAGGGAACAGCATGTGCAAAGGCTCAGCGACCACGAGAGCTTGGTCAATCTGAGGGATGGGGGTATAGACTGTGCATGTCAATATTCACTTTATTACTTGTGTGTAGGTTATGTACTGAACATGAAAAACAGTCCCTCTTTCCCTGTACCCCAGAAAAAACTATACAATGTTCCTGAAGTGGCCGATGTGTTGCTTTTATATATGAATTAGTTATAAAAGCCCACTCATCTCTCCTAATTAATCTATAATCACCTGTTGAGATTTTAATTGGAATTCCTAGAATTTGTAGATGAATTTGGAGAGAAATGACATGCCATATCATCCTACCTATATGCATATGTTTTGAAGTACTCTTTTATCTCTTTCAATAGTTTTATAGTTTTCATCCCAGATACTTTGTATATATTTTTGAGGTTTAGTCATAGGTACTTCACAGTTTCTGATGCTACTATGAATGTTGTATTTTATCCTATTACACCTCTCTCCTGTCATCGCTGGTCTAATGGAACGCTGTTGATTTGTGTATGTTTATTGCCTTTGATTCTACTATGAATGGAGGAGCGACGGGTGGAGAAGAGAAGCAGCTTAAAGCGAAACTATGCTGCGTTATTGAAAACGTCAAAGCTGTGCTCCATCCATCACTACACAGGTTTGGAGCCATTTAAAGGCAGAACTAACTCCATTCCTATTCCTTCTGCACCCTCTAGTGGACACACTGCATGGGTTTTATAGAAACTTTGGGTACATTCACTTTAACCATGGTTTAAAACGGAAATTCTTTCTTAAACAACAGCTTCCTTAAAGACATTATCACACCTGCCTGCTAGAAAAGATTAATGCATTTACGGAATCAGTGATGAATGAGGATCTTATTTAATATGAACTTAGACAAATTATATAAAAGATATTTATAAGTTGCACATCAATATCTAGTTTTTTAAAGGATGTTATTTGAGAGTCATTACCGTAAACTTTCAACGATAATGCTTACATATGGAGTACCTTACATACAGGTTTAGAAAAGTACATATAGATCTAAATATATGCTAACCCAGGGGGGAAAAATTTTTTTAAATGGCTTTTTAAATTCTAATTATATAATTCCCTGATGGATCTACACACCAGCAGTTGGTGAGTTTTAACTATTACTCTAATATTTTTTTAAAGGTAAGAAATTGGTTTTGTCCAACTAGCTATTACACTCCCTTGAAAGAGTTGTGCATTTCATGGTCTCAGCTTCATCTTCCAGTCCTTTCTTCCATTTACTCTAATCAAATTTTTACCACTCCAGAAAAATCCTCTACTCTAGAAAGCTCTCTCTTTAAAGTCACCAATGACCTCTGTTTCTAATCCAAAGGTCACTTCCCAGTACTCTTTACCCAGCCTCTGCACACTCTGTCCCATTTGCTCACACCCTACTTTGTAAAATTTTCCATCTTTCAAATCACCAGACTCCCCTGGGTTCCCGCTTCACTCACTAGACATTTCCCAGTTCTTCTTTCCTGCTCCTCTGAGCTTCTTCTCTACCTTTGAATGCAAAATAGGTGTTCTCGCTCTGCTCCCCAGCCCTCGCCACTCATCTAGCCCCATAGACTTAACACTACATGCTGATGCCTCTGGGTTTCCATCCCAGCTCTAAACCCTCCCCAGGCTGGAGCCCCCTGAGCACCTTCTCTTGGAGACTGATGGGTCCCTGACAGCTCTTCACTTACCCCCATGCTCGGCCCATCTCAATAAGCAGCATACTTGATTCCCCTCTTTTCTTACACCCACCATCAACCCATCAGTGAATCCTGTCGGCTTTGCTATCAATATATATCCCAACTCCAACCACTTCTCACAAATCCCACTGGTACCACTTTACATTCCCACCTGGATTAATACACAACGGCCTCTAATCTCTTTCACTGCTGCTGCTCTTGGCCCCTGCAAAAAAAACTCACCTCCCTACAGCTACAACTTGCCAAATGTAACTCAGATCACATCATTCCCACCAACTTTCTGTTGGCCGCTCACCACAATAAGTAAAATCCAAACTCACGTGATCTGGCTCCTGCCTCTCTTCAACCTCCAATCTTACTGCTCTCTGCCTCACATACTCTGTTCCGCGCTCACCGCCCTGCTGTTCCACACACAGGGCAAGCCTGCCTCAGAACCCTGTCCTACTCCTTCCTTCTGACGAGGGCACAACCCTATGATCTTTGCCTAGTTCATTCTCCCATTTTATTCAGGTCTCTACCAAATGTCACTCCACAGCAAGGACTTCCCTGACCCAACCCAAAGCACCACCTCCCTGGCCACTGATCACCCCCTACTTGATTTTACTTCCCAGCATATTCAGAATTGACACGTGTGCTTGTCTATTCAACCCCCTGTCAGTTCCTCCACTGCAGGGGGACTTGGTCTAGGCCCCCCTTTTCCACTGTACTTAGACCAGTTCCTGGGAAAGAAGAGGACCTCAGTAAATGTCACTGAATTAAGGATTTCACTCACTTCTGCTTCCTGCAATAAGCAAGGGAAATAAAGAGCTAACAGTTGTTTCAAGAAATTATCTGTCCTATTCCTAGGAGATCCAAACAAAATTACAACACTACTAGATTCAGGCACCTGACTCCAGGCAGAAATGAACCCAGATATTCAGGACAGAGTCCGGTGTATCCTTGCCCTCGCAGGGTGAGTTAATGTTAGCAAACTCCCAGTGCGCTAATCCAATTTTCCTGGGCGTCTTTATCTATACCACTAAGATCCATTTTAACAATTAGGTGCCTGCCTTTTACTTTGTCAAGAACTTTTAAAACTTAATTAGGCAGGAAAGAAAGGAGCAAGATAGAATATTAAAAATGTTAATAAAAGCTGAGTCAACACAGGTCACCTTGAGCAGACAGGGAAAGCTCCAGGTGAAAGAACTGCTCAGAGACGACACTGGACAGCAGGCCACACATCTGATGACCTTGCATCTTCCCTCAGAAAGGGGATGCGTAGCTCACACCTCCACAAGCAGGAAGGTGAGAAGGGATCATCCCTTGATTCTAAGTTTTCACTTCCCTGGAGATACACTGAGCATTTCTGTAGTCTGTGCTAACTTTCTTGAGCCATGTGGGCAGGGAGAAGGGAGAGATTCTAAAAACAGTCATGAAACATTGGCCTGCGTAACCTTAAAAGTGATGCTCGAGTCTGAGTCGCCTCAAGTATCTAGAGTTCTATTCTTTTCTAACATGTGAGTGAATTACCAGCATCAAGGCCCAGCACCTTAGACAAAACAAAATAATCCAGTTTAAAGCTCAAGTGTGGCCAATGTACAAAATGAAGGCACTAACATGAACTCCCCATTCATTCCACTATATAATTATATATTTTTTAAGATTGTAAACAAACTTGAGATTTCCTTGGCTTGTTCGCCTCCTTCAATCACAGAAGAGGCCTGAGCATGAAGAATTAATATCAAGTTTATCAGACAGCTACTCTATTTTCCACATAAGCATAAACAGCAATTACATAGGCTCCCACATTTGTAAAAATCTACCCCTAACATTAGTTCAGATAACGAATCTAAACTCACACGTCTAATGCAGGTTACAGTTTCTTCTCATTTACCTATTCTGGTTTCTCTATGTGATTCGAATTACTAGCAGGTGCTCCGTTTCAGCTGGAAATCATACCTAACATATTCACACTAAGGAATGACAGGATCTGTTCTCTCACAGGGTGGCTTTATACTTATTTCCCCAACGAGGCACCAGACCCTGTGCTGACAGGGGGGTCAGTGGCACCTGGATGGATGGCAGGGCTCCTTACCTCCCTTGGCTTACTGGCAATGGCGACACTGCCATCCTTGTTGTACTTGATTGGTGCCCCTCCTTCTTGCACCAGGGTCCCGTATCCTGTGCTGGTGTAAAAGGCAGGAACTCCAGCACCGCCTGCACGAATCCTCTCTGCAAGTGTGCCCTACAGGTGAGCAAACAACACACCACAGGTCAGTATGCACACCTGTGCACGTGGACACAGAGCGCTCACAGACACGTGCCTGTTCTCTAGAGGTTTACTGTTCCAAGTGGCACCTCGCATGGTAAACTGGTGTATTTCCCTAACAATATGTGCCAGGAGATTAATTTAAAACGATCCCTGCCTCTCTGGACAACAACTTCTCTATTCCATTTTTTTTTCATTTTTTAAATTTTTTTTAATTATTGATTTTTAGAGAGAGAGGAAAGGGGAGGGAGAGAGAGAAACATCAGTGGGTTGCCTCCTGTATGCACTCCAACCCAGGACTGGGCATGTGCCTTGACTGGGAATCGAACTGGTGACCTTTCGGTGCACAGGTCGATGTCCAACCTACTGAGCCACACCAGCCAGGGCAACCTCTCTATTCTTAATCCACAACATGTAACTGCTCATACACATAATCACACTTTCAACTTCCATGTCTCCTGCTGGCTTCTTAACAACATGTTCAACATCAGTCTATTAGGACTATTTTTTATATATATATGTGTATATATATATTGATTTCAGAGAGAGGAAGGGAGAGGGAGAGAGAGTTGAAACATCAGTGATGAGAGAGAGTCATTGATCGGCTGCCTCCTGCACGCCCCCTACTGGGGACAAGCCCACAAGCACAGGCCCTGACCGGAAATCGAACCCCGATCTCCTGGATCCTAGGTCAATGCTCAGCCACTGAGCCACGCCCAATCGGGCTATTTGTACTATTTTTAAATGAGTTTTCAAATCTGAAGCATGTAACTTCAACTACATACATTAAAAAACATGAAATTAAATGTTGTGTTTTACTATGTGCTACATGGACTGAATGTTATCATTAGTCACAATAAGTGATTATAACAGAATAATAATGTATAACATTCAAACGTATTTAGAATTTATTCTAAACCATTCTCATAAGTATTTTACCTACAATATTATCTATCTAAGGGGAAAATCCAAAGTACAACATATAGGTAAATTGGTTTTTAAAAGCCCAGAGTACTTCAAATTTTGTTTCAGAGTAGAAACAGCTCTAGGCAAAGTTTCCTTGTCTCTTCCATTGATCACTGTCACCCCCCACCTAGGTACCAGTGATGTCAAACCTGATTTCCCAGCTCTCTCCCACCTCCAGCTGCCCTGAGGGCAATAAACTGTGGCCCAGAACATTCCTTGGCACCCTCCCCACCACTAAAAGCTGTGGTTACGGTCCAGCAACATCATGGTCACGCTGGGTAGCTAAGTGGCTAATCAGTAGTAAGAATTAGGTTAGGTATTAATGGCAGGGTGTTAATATTGTCCCAAAATGAAAACAATTTTCTACTTTAACTGGGGCTTAAACTCGAAGGACAGACTAATGATTAGCATTTCACACACTGACTCATTCAAACACGTGGGGTATTCCGGGGAAGGAGGGCCTTGTGGATTAACTGAAAACCTTACAGATAAACACTTTTCTACACTTTCCAATGAATAGAGGTGACTCTACTCAGCGTTCTGGGTATTTTAAGTTAACAACATTCACAAAAATTCGATCCTCAAACAACCATAATTCCAGCCCTGGTGTAAAGTGTCTTTTATGTCTACCCACCCTGAATACTTCACTCCTTCTCTGTGTCCCATTGGGCGAGGGCCTGAAAACAGAACGTTTCTGCAGACAGGACTTCTGCAGGTACCACCAAGGCCCCACCTCCAGCCCCAAAGGGGGTCCTGATCCCTGATGCTTCAACGCTCCCTCCTGACTCTCAGGCCACAGAACAAGTTTCCAGAACCCAGGTTTATTTACATGCCCCTGAAATGGGGAGGGAGACCCTGACTTCTTTCAGCTTAAAGAGAGAATAGAAAAGAAACACTAAGGAAGTCCCTCTCCCTTAAGATGCCCTCTGACAAAATAAGGAGGAATGCCAAAGATACACAAGGTTAATTTTCAGCAGCTCCAAAAACAAAGGACAAGGTACCGAAAGCTACAATGTGAAGAGGAAAAGCGTATGCCGCGCACTGAATGATGTCCCCCCGAATTCATATAGGGAAGTCCTAACCCCAATGAGTGACTGTAAATTGGAGAGAAGGCCTTCATGGACGTCATTAAGGTTAAATGAGGTCATAACAGTAGGGCCCTGATCAAACAGGATTAGTGTTCTTTTTTTAAAAATATGTTTTCATTGATTTTAGGGAAAGGGAGAGAGAGAGAGAAACATTAATGAGAGGGAGAAACATCGATCGGCTGCCTCCTGCATGCTCCCGACTGGAGATGAGCCCACAACCCGGGCACAAGCCCTGACGGGGAATCCAACCGGTGACCTCTCGGTGCACCAGATGATATCAACCACCTGAGCCACAGCGGCCAGGGCAGGATTAGAAGGGAACCCAAAACAAACAACAAACAAATAAATAAAAATAAACAAAAGAACAAAAAATTGCTTGCTTTGTGACGACATTTCCCCGAAAACCTCTGATCCCAGCACTTACTCTGATGCAGTCAGCTTCACCCTCTCAGGCCTGCTCTCTCCTGATAAGTCTCAGCAAGACGGATTCCACACAAATTACTAATCCTATGAGTCATGAGCTGACTTTTAGGATAACCCTCAAACATTTCAGCAAATCCTTTTGCGTGCTTCCGGCATAATTTATATTATGGCGCCAAACTTTGAAATGTATCCTGTAGACTAGAGATTTTTATTAAAAATATACCTCCTTTTGCTGTTGCAAAGCAACAGAAAATATTAGACTCCGGCAATCAGCTGGTACGACCTACAAAACAGCACTGTCTCTGCCTCACCTGTCTCGCACAAAGACATTTCTAAGGAGAAAAAGATACATTTTAAAATAAGTTTGTATTGCCGAAGAAAAGCAGAGAATTTTCTTACCTGTGGTGTCAGCTCTACTTCTAATTCCCCAGACAAGTACTGTCGCTCAAATTCGGCATTTTCTCCCACGTACGAGGCGATCATGCGTTTTATCTGCTTGGTTTGAAGTAGAAGGCCCAAGCCAAAATTGTCAACCCTAGATGGAAAAGGCACACAGCTTACAACCAAAGGGACATCTGACAGAACACTAATTCACTTACATTCAAAAACACAAAATGGTATTAATTTAAAGGAATCCTATCTACTGGGCATTTAACCCACATTCTGTCCCAGTCCCCCACCCCCTAAAGAGCCCTTCAAGGTGGCCATTCTCTTATTTTACAGTTGAGGAAACTGAAGCTCAAAACATTTAAGTGATTTTTTTTCCCAAGTGATTTTTTTTCCCCAAGATCTTGGGCAGTGACACAGCCAGTACTCAAACCCACGTCAATCCTACAATTCGACCCCCACCCCCTTTGGTTCTTTCCGCTGCTCCAAACGGATCCTGGGTCAGACGACTGGCAGAGAGATGGGCTGGTCCTTGCCCTGCGCTTCAGGGACATACATAAATGCAGTGGCAATGCCACCGTCCCTAACCTACACTGGCCCCGAAGGAAGGCTTGGGTGGAGAAATTCTTTCTGTCCAAGAACAGGATCAGGAGCATTCTCATATTTAAAAGACAGAACAGCAGACTCTCAAAACATGGACCCAATTATGAATAAATAGGAGCACTTTCCCTATATCCTAGGTAGAGAATAAATGAGATTATCAAGGAAAAAACAGGCAAACCTATGACTGCAACAGAGGGAGAGATGTGCTGAGAGTGGTCTGCATGAGAACCCAACATTCAGGAGAAAGGGGCAGAAAAAGTCGACCAGAGGGTGACACCAACTGCCTTGGAGGGGGAAAACCGGTCTTGAGAGCAGAGCAGAGGTGCGGAGGTGACGAGGGAAAGAGGCAGACGGGCAGGCTGGAAACCGTATAGGCTGGCTGATGGGATCGGGAGGCCCGTGCTGAGCGTGCCAGGAAGGGCGGGGAGGGCGCAGGCAGGCCGGGCTGTGCCCACCCTGAAGCCACAGCAAGGAATGAGGACTCGTCCTGAAGGGTGTGGGAGGCCCTGCGAATAGTTTTAAGCAGAAAATAATGGGGCATATAATTCACCGGAGACGTGGAGAGGAAAGGCAGGGAGATGGGTTAGGAGTCTTCAAACAGTCCTAAGCAGCAACGACAAGGGTCCAAACTAACAGCAGCAATGGGAAGGGGAAGGAGGGGACAAGCCAAGTGATATTTGGGGAAAACCATTCATAAGACTCATTGGCCATCCTGGCGAAGAGGAAGGCCCACCCCAGAACTCTGGCCCTGGAGTGGGAAACAGTGGGAGGGTGTAAGTCTGATGATCACAGTGACACCCGCTTCGTCTGACCAGAAAGGAGGGAGTAGGTACCCGAACAAGCCAGACGTTCCTCCTGACCTTTTCTCCCACCTTCACTCCACTCCGATCCTCACGCACGCAAGCGGCTGGTCCCACTCAGCTGCCCCTTCCTGGTTCTCAGCCTGTATCACTTCCAAGCCCGGGACCCCCCCCCAGGCAGTCCTGACACCCGAGTACGTCCAAGTAATCCCGGGGACAGGTAACCGCCAGCCTTCTTCTGAGCTTGTTTCATAGTCCTAGCTTCCAATTCCGAACCTGGCAGCATTCCCACCCACCCCTGTGGGTACAAAACACAGCCACACGACTTACCACTTCTTTCAGAAGAAAACTAGAGCCTAAATAGCAAGTATTTGCAAGTGGACTTCTGCCACAGGGAGGATTCCCTGATTAATAATACACTCGTCCACTAGAGGGCTCCAAACACTGAGGGTCTCGGTGTCCCCCGGAAAATCAGTTCTTACCCCGCTCTCATACGTATAAGGCCTGTGTTTGCTTGGTTTTTTAACCTACTCCTAATTAACAGCTAAGTAGGCCTTCAGTTCTCCAGACTAAACTGTTTCCTTAAATTCATCTCCACCTGCAGCCTACTCCATCTCACCTGATGGCAGCAGCCCCATCCTTAGAGATCTTCAGTATAAAACTAAGGGGGTGATCTTTGACTTTCACATACTATCGGGACATCCTGACTCTAAGCCTTTCTCTCTCTCTCTTCTGTTTTTTGTTTTGTTTTTGTTTGCTTTTTAATATATCTTTATTGATTTCAGAGAGGGGAAAGGAGAGGGAGAGAGAGATAGAAACATCAATGATGAGAGAGTCATTGATCGAGCCCACAACCCAGGCATGTGCCCTGACCGGGAATCGAACCCCGATCGCCAGGATCCTAGGTCGATGCTCAACCGCTGAGCCAAGCCCGGCCAGGCTCTCTCTCCTCTGTGACCTACACCATCGCTTAACTGGATGCTGCAGTAACCTCAGTTTCTACTCCTGGCCCCTAAGATTTACTCACCAAATGACAGCCAAAATGTAGGTATAAAATAAAATGTCCGGTCCTGTCACGCTCTGCTCAAACCCTGCAATGGTACTCACTTACTCAGGATAGAAGCAAAGGTCTCTGGGGCGGCCCGCGAGGCCCCTTGGGATGGGATGCCTGGTCATGTCTCTGACCTCACTGCCCCCATTTCCTTTGTGCCCCACCTCTGCCGGCCTCCTTACAGCCACTCAAATGCCCAGGCACCCTGCCTGGGGTCCTGCACGCTGGCCTTTCTGTGGCTCCAAACTCCTCGTCAGGTAGCTGCATGGCTCACCCCCTCACTCCCTCGAGTCTCTGGTCAGCGGCCCCTTCCTGAGTCCCCCCTTGACCACCCCACCTTATACCAAAGCCTCCCATTGCACATAAGGTCCGCAGAGGCACAGAATTCCTCCTGGTTTGTCCACTGTTGACCCCAAGCACCTGGCGGCATATACAATACACAGAGGACACTAGACAAACATCTGCTGAACACGTGTCGAGTGAATGTACTGCTCGGTTTCGCTTCCCCTCTTCACTGGCTCCTCTCCAATAAAAATGAGAACCATCAAGTCCTTATGCCAGATATTTTCTATTCCCCACCCCCCACCCCCAGCCCCTGCATCCATTCAGCCTGCCCTGAGCCTGGACTAGCTGACCTGCAGGACTGAATCCTGGGCCCCTTGCCCTCTGGCTTCAGGCTGGGGTCAGCCACTTCTGATGGGGTCCAGCCAACGGAGGCACCATCAGGAGGATTGGGGTGAGAGGAGAATAAGGATTTGTATCCCTGGCTTGCTCCCAGGCTAAGCTGCTGCGCAGAGGAGAGCCCTCTCTCTAGAGTTTTGTCCAGGTCCTAACCGCTCCTCCCCTCCTTCCACCAGGTCCTGGGCTGCTGAGCCTCTGCCAGTCTCCAGGCTGTGTCAGTCCTCATATTGCTGTCCGAGTCCTGACCATTCCTTTCAAACAGTCCCTTTGCCCGGCCGGTGTGGCTCAGCAGTTGAGCATCAACCTAGGATCCAGTAGATCATGGTTCGATTCCCGGTCAGGGCACATGCCTGGGCTTCGGGCTCATTCCCCAGCAAGGCGTAGGCAGGAGGCAGCTGATCAATGGCTCTCTCATCATCGATGTTTCTATCTCTCTCTCCCCCTTCCTCTCTCTAAAATCAATAAAAAATATTTTAAACAAAAAAAAACAGTTCCTTTGGTAAACTTTCTTCAATTACCCAATATGAGAGCACCACTGCTATCCTCTGGAGCCCTGTTTAAATTACACCCTATCAATAAAATAACCCACGAAGGTGGATAGAGTCCATTTGCTTTCTGTTGCATTAAATACCTGACACTCCCTCTAAGCACACAACTTCATACCATAAACCAGAATATCGACCTAGGAATTTTTCTAATCACTTTTTCTTGGGTCTCTGTTTGGCTTTTCAGCCCAAACTCACTTGAACTTGGTGCTGTTTGGAGATGACCACTCTGTATTTGTTGATCTTGGCCCTGCAAACCAAGTGTATTTGCTCTTTGGTTTAGTTTTTGTTTTTTTTTTCTTTTTTCTTTATTTTGTTTCTGGACTAGGACCTGGCATGGTAACCAAGATGCCCAGCCGAGGCTACTACCCAGGCTACTACCCTGGTCATACAAAAATGAAAAAGGCAAGGCGCTTACTCACAGTGTAAGAGAAGAGAGGCACTTATGATCTTCTGCAAATGAGGAACACACTAATGTTCCTAGAGAAACATGTTAAGGCATTTTGCAGCTTTGCAGTATGACGGCCTTTCAGAGCGACCCTTGCCTGCCGTTAGTAACCAACAGGACAACTAACGAGAGGGTTCACCTTTTCCTGCGCACAACAAACTCAGGTTCCAAACATCTTAGTGGTTAAAGAAGTCTAAATCCAAGAATCAAGTAAAGAGATACATTAATATAAAGCAAAACCTATTTCATGGAAGATATCGATGTTCTGCAAATATTTATGAAACTGATTTTCATTTTCTGAAATCTCACTAACTGGCTATTCTTATTCTTATCAAAGTGAAACTCTAATAAGAATAAAGTTGCACCCGGGCTGCATAGTTCAGTTGCTTAGAGTGTTGTCCTGATATGTGCAGATTGTGGGTTCAATCCCCGGTCAGGGCACAGACAAGAAGCAACCAACGAATAAGTAGAACAACAAATCGATGTTTCTCTCTCTCTCTCTCTAAAATCAATAAAAATTTTAAAAAAGAATAAAGTTGCAACCATGTACCAAACTGAATTTCTTGTTCACTCTCATTTTAGACATACTTAAATCTCATTACACAATTTATATTCACTCTGATAATATCAAGAGTATTAAAAGACAAGACAGTGCTGTATTCAGATATATGGTTAATTTATGACATAGTTATATGGGAAACGGGAAATCCTCTATAAACTGAGCAGACAAGTTCAAGTGCATGCCCCAGGACGTGGTTGCCCCTCCCAGACAAAACCACCAAATCTTGGGGGATGCTTACAATCAGCGAAGATGGCCTAGATCTCCCCACTGAGCCCAGCAGAGCCCTCCAGAGACTCAGCTGCCTCAACAAAGGGGAAGCAAAGGGAAGGAGCGCTGGTCTTTGTACCCACAAGAATGATAACCAAAAACAAACCTGTCCTAGGAAGGAAGAGCATGACTGCTATAGCACACCCTTTCTTTCCTTGGCTCTGTGATTTCACTGGTTGATCTGTAGTGTGTTGTGAAACTTTTGGTTCACACAGGCTTGGAATTCACATGCTGAAGTCTTCCAAAAAATCAATGAAAGGTGCATTCCTACTTTCCTAATCAATCCCCATCAAAGTACTGATCCATCTGAGTGATCCTAAGGAAAGGTTTATGTTCTCTAGACTAACAGGCACTACTCCACGCCCAGGTAAGTGGTACCTCAGGGCAACAGGTCTTCCCAATCATTTAAAAACAAACAAACAAAATGAAACAATCAGGAGCCTGAGCTTTGTGAAGCTTCCAATTCAGGCAGAACTTTCATAGAAAGATCGTTTTCTAAGGAGGAAAATAATCATTACTCCTAATATCCCAAGTTTTCTCCAGATACCCAACCACTCAAACCATGTCATTAGTTCTCTGATGAAGCAATGCTGAGTTTTCCTCATTTATCCGACTCAAATGGTCCAAACAAAGCCCTCACTGCTGCAGACGTATAGGATCTAGACTCCCTAATTAAGAGAATCGACTGCCCCTGAGGGCCTGCAACATGCCTTCCCTGTTCAATCAAGCAGGTGATCAGTATCTGCTTTGCATCACAGATCTACCTATTACACCACCTGTAGGCACTGAGCCATGTGGAAAACCCAACAAAGTCCTGACTACCAAAAGTATGTTTAATAAATACAAAGTCAGCTCAAAGGGCACTGTAAGTGTTTAGGAAATACCAAGTGACCGTGAATAAGCTACTTCTCTATTTACAGATGAGTTTCCTCTGTTGAATGAGGGAACTGGAACAGTTGATCTCTACAGTCCTGCCCAGCTCTAACTTCAGTGACTCTGAGACTCACAGGCTCATGAGCACAAGTAGGGGACAGAAAACCACTGTAACAGGAGCGGCCTGCAAGGGGTGTCAGACAGAATAAATACAACTCGGGACGCGTGGAAAGGCTAAAACTCTCCGAAGAAACTCAGAAAGGGGCAAGAGAAGTCCTATACTTGGATAGGGCTTCTCTGAAGATACGTAGCTTGAGTAGAATTCTGAGAAATGGAGACAATGTGGATACACAGAGAAGAGGTGGGAGAACCTTCCGGATGAAAATAGTGACAAAAATAAACTCAGCCAAGGAAAAACGAGCATGCGTGTAGGATCCGTTTTTATCCTGAACGACCTGTGCTATTTATTCTAAGTCACATTTATGATAATAGGCTAAAGAGCCAATTCAGCTAACTTAAAAAAATGTTTTCAGATCTTTCGTCTTTCATCCCTGACAGAGAGCTGATGATTTGTCATTTTGTATAAAAATAGGTTTTTCCTTTATCACTAAACATATCTTAATGCACATGTCATTCATTATTAAAGTGTTACTGCTTATTATTGACCGTTTGATGCGCTTCTACTGTCTTAAGTGCCGGCTGTGTATTCTTCTTCTACCAAGAACAGCGACCTCTTTAACGATTAATGCTGTTCCTTACCTATCATCTAGAGTAAAGGCTTAACAGAAAGAAAGGACTTAAAACAGATTTCAACTTGATGCCCACCTTTCTTTATAAATAATGATCTATAATAACATACATCGTAAAGGAACATCTCTAAATTTTTAAATGCAGGTTTCAATTTAAAGTATGTATGTTTCAACTTTAATAATATATTTGAAATTAAAGCAAAAGCACATCAGGTTAAGACATAAAATTATGCAAGTCTCCTTTACTGATGATTATGAAGTAGGTACCAAAAGTATTTGCATAACTGGAACCACCACTCCTGAGCTTGTTAAACGTTATCTTTTGATGTGGGAGGTACTGCTCACGTGAAGGGGGAAAGTCTTCACTTCACTGATAGACCCCGTTTCAATATTACGGGGAAGTGCCACCCCTTTCGAAGCGGCTGCCTCACAATCGCACGCACCCTGCGTTGTTGCTGACCGCGGTGAGCCCCTTGACTCCCGTCTTCAGTAAGGCCCCGATGAGATTCTCGGGAATGCCACACAGCCCGAAGCCTGGAAGAAGCCGAAAAGATGGGTTGATGAAGAGAGCAATGCAGCTGCAGGCAATGCGTGCTATTCTCTTTTAACAGAAAAGAAAATGTGGAAGATCATTATTAGCCCTGCTAAGCAAAATGCACAGGTGTACCTCAGCAGCTCAATAAACGGACATAAGGCCGTATCCAAAGGTTTGGCCCCAACACACAGCACCGGACGTCACTGTCCAGTCCCTGATTCATGAGGATAAAGCCAAGCGAGTTGTGCGGATACAGCTACGCACCGTTCTTCCTGCACCTAACTGCGTATCGATCACCGTCCCACTTTATAACCTACCCTTACACAGTCACTTTGTCAGGCATGTTTGTTTCTACATCTCAGTTATTTTGCAGAATTGGAAGCCTAGGCCACTGACTTTCTTTTCTCTACATTTTCCACACTTCCTCAAATAGTATTGGGTTTTAAATGGACACTGAATTACTGATCAGGAAAAGGGGGGG